GAACAGTTAATGAATTACACTTTTCTGAGAATAGAATATTGAAGTGGAGATCGCTAAACTGCAAGCTAACCGCTGTTTTCAGAAAGCAAGCGCGTTTATCCACAGTGGAGAGAGAGTGCGTGTGCACATGGTTGCCAGGTTGACAAAGATAAGTAACACACTTAGCAGATATTTCCGTATTGCGCAAGTGTAAAGCTCTGTTTGGGGATTACGTCTCTATATTTCAGGCAACCCAGTTGTGTTCCTCTGCGGCCAGATTAAACTTGTTGTAGCCTATATATATGCTCTATTCATTCTTTTTTAGAAACCTCACACTTTCCTACTCAATTTTAAACGTTGTAAAATTTTAAACAAATGAAGCGTGGTCCACTGCTGCACACGTGCCACAATATCGATACAGGGCCAGCTGTATCGATACTCGTATCGTCAAATCTCTGTGACGATACATCGTCGTATCGATATTTTGAACACAGCACTACTAGATGGAGGTCAGACCAAACTCTGCTGATAGAAGCCCTTTTATTAGACATTTCTGAGCACCTAACTCAACCTCTAACCCTAAACCAAACCATTTTCAATATAAAACAATTTAAAGACAGGATGTACATGTAACAGGCAGATACAACTACAGTAAACAACTACAATTTATTCAGCATTGACCAATATTCCAAGTCTTCTGAAAACAAACGATGGCTTTGTTTGAGGAACAGGCCCAAAGCGATTCTGTCTCCATCTGCTGTAACGCTCAAATCACAATCACATTAGGTTTGTTGGACTTTGGCTGGATTTAATCGATAAGTGAGATTTGCCGTTCAGAAACACAAGAATGTCTCAGCTATGTGGTAAACAGTCTCGTTGGCTGTAACAATGAACATAAGAATGATTGCAAATGGCATTTCTGAATGTGCTTGTTAGTGCATTGTACGGCTAATGTGGCTAAAATTAATGTTGTTGAATTCACACAGACCAAAATAATTTTGTCATACTCAAAACCGCGTGACCGGACCGATCCCAAAACAATCACTTTATAATTCACAACCGCACCTTTATTATGCACAATACATTAAGATGATTGTTCTCCAGTTTTATTGTTGCAGGAGAATCCAAAGTACAAGCTGTAAAGGCTCACACTTCTTCTGGAAAGGGGGTGGAGACAGTAGCTAATTTGCATTTAAATAGACGTACATGAAAAACAGCATGTTTTGCTTCCCGCTATAAAGAGGCATTTAGGGCATGGTATAATAAATGATCTGTGGGGTATTTTGAGCTGAAACGTCACAGACATATTCTGGGGACACCTGAGACATCTTGTAAAAAGGCAGTTTTTGTAATAAATACCCGTGACTGTACTTTTATCTTCCTGTTAAATGTTTTCTGTAGATTTACTACAGACCCTCTGTCTGTCTGGTAAGAGAACAATTTGGTTCGGCTCATTCTGCAGTTGCTCGGTTATGGCTGTCAGACATAGGTGCTTAGCATCTCCTCACTAATCTGAGTCTAGCTGATGTTTGATATATCAGTGCTGCCTGTAAATCTTCAGCGTCTCCTTCACTCTGAGCATGAGATGAGATTAACAGGAGATGAGCAGGTGCTCATTCAGTTTCTTCACATCTGCTGTGCTCTCCCTTACTGAAGCATCTGGAAATGAATTGTGAGTACTAAAGATGTTTTAAGAATCATTTAAGAATCATTCTTTTATAAGTACAAATACAATATACAATTATTTAAAAATATTGATGGGGATGTATCTGATTAGGCTAAAGGAAAAAATACAACCATTTAATATTTTAATTTTATATCAAAGCATAATGAAACATATATCAGCAATTTACTTTATAGCTGCAGTCACAACTTTGGCCTAGGTTGTCGATTTATCAGATTCAGATGAATGTTTTATTGTCCTCGATGGAGGAAATTTGTTATCCACATGAATTGTAATTTTAAATACTTTTTTTTTTACCCATCTTTATTGTTCATTATTGTTCATTAGTAGCACTATATTATAAAACTACTGAAAACTTGTCAGTTTCTGTAATGCTTGTTCTCACATCTTCTTGAACAAGTTTGCTAAAATGGTTAAGTAGCTGTTTTCTGTGAAATTGTTTTTGGTGTAACCACCTCTCACAGTACCAGCATACCTCTGTTGAGTATGTATTTAAATATTTAGGCTATGCTGCTTGATTGTGCTGATATCTTGCTGACCAAAAATGTTAGATTGAAATCCAGTCTCTGTGCCAGGATTATTGGATCCAGTTTCCTTAAAAGCACGTCTGACTAGTGCTGGGCGGTATACCGGTTCATACCGAATACGTGTTTATTTTTGTTATGGTATGAATTTTTTAAATACCGCAATACACCGGTATGTCGCTTAAACAACGTTCGGAACGCGACACTGTTTGAAAGGGGTCCGTTTTCACTGTTAAGCTGTGGTGAGGGAACAGCTGTATGTGTTACTAAGCGTGAAAGTTCAGAAACTGAAGCTGTAGAACTAATAGAACATGATGACACAGAAGAACTCATCCACAATATCCACACTGACCGCCACAAATATCCACCGCCCCCTGCCATCAGCTCCCGCATCTCACACACACACGAGCGTGACTTTAGCACTAGATTTAGCAACTTTCAGACTCTTTTAGCAGCTTTTTTCCATAGAATATTCATACTGACAA